CTGGCACTCCCGCGTCCACTTGCCCCGACCCGCCGCACCTGCCTGATGTCGCCGCCCCTCAATCGGGGCACTCGAGTCCACCCTGACTCGGCTGGCATGTCGGCCAGCTCCATCAATGCCGATGACCAGGATGCCGGCTCTCTGTCGGCCGCCGATTTCGAGACCCAAGTGATGGGGGCCTCGGCCTCGTCCTCTGCCTCCGCCACCCCGAAGAAGCCCTGGTGGAAGTGGCGCACCCTGCGGCTGAGCTTCACCCTCGGGCTGTCGTGCATCATTTTCTTCGCCGAGGTCATCGTCGGGTCCATCACCCACTCGAATGCCCTGATGGCCGATGCCTTCCACGTCCTGTCCGACATGCTTGGCCTGGTCATCGGCATTGCCGCGATCCAGGTCCGTGCCTGCTCTCCCCTCGCGCCGCCTCTCCTCCGGCCTTCCCACCCTCCCCGCTCGCTCTGCTCCCCCCCCCACCCCCCACCCATTTGTCGCTAGGACCGTGCACAAAGGGCCCGGATAGGCCCATACACTTGGCTAACCGAAAACCCATCGCAGCCCCTCCGGACGGGCTCGGCACCTCTCGCGCCCCTCCGGCCCGCTCTGCCTCTGTGCCTCCCTCTCGCTCTTTGTCCCCCCCCCTGCCCCCCGGCCCCCTTGCCTGCCTGCTTGCCTCCACAACGGCCCGTAGATTGGCAAGCGCGATCGCACTCCCGGCAACTATCGGGCCAAGCGCATCGAGGTGTTCGGGGCCCTGGTCAACGGTGTTTTTGTCTTGGCCCTCTGTCTGTCCATCGTCATGAGCGCCGTCGGTCGCTTCTTCCGGCCAGAAGGTGCGCCCCTCGCTCTGGCTCCCGTCCGGCCTGTCCTCCCGGGCTGCTTGCATTCCCCCCCCCCCCCTGCCCGGTCATTACCACACCGGCGCACTTCTCGCGGCTCTGACCATCATCACCACAGAAATTGAGGATCCCCAGCTGCTTCTGGTGACCGGCTCTATCGGCCTGGTGGCCAACATCATCGGTCTGGTGGTTGTCGGCCACGGCGGCCATGGGCACTCTCACTCCCACGGCGGACACTCCCACGGCGCGCCGGCCGATACGCCCCTCCTGTCGGCCGCCGCCGAGGAGGACGGCGACGATGAGGATGATTCTCACAGCCACAGCCATAGCCATGGAGATGACCATGGCCACTCCCATGGCGAGCATGGCCACTCCCACGGCGGCAGCGCCTCGGCTGGGGACGACTCCGCCGGCCACGGCCACGCCCACAGCCACGGCCCTGGGGGCGACCTCAACATCCGCGGCGTCTTCTTGCACATTCTCGGTGATGCCCTGGCCTCCGTGGCCGTGGTCATCAGTGCCTTGATCATCACCTACAGCGACTGGGAATATGTCAACTATGTGGACCCGGCCCTCAGGTTCGTGCTGCGCCTGTCTTCGCCGCCCCCCCCCCCCCCCCCCCTCCCGTCCATCTTGCGCATGCTGAGCTTTTGTCTCGCGCTCCGGCTTCGCGCTGCGCGTGGCTTTCGCCTCGCTGACCGTCGATCCATCTCTCTCTCCCTCTCTCTGTCTTCCGCGCGCGCTTTCACACTCACACACACACACGCACACACGCGCGTGCGCGTGCGCATACGCACCACATGCTTACTTCCCATACCCCTACCGCAGTCTCCTCATCACGCTCATCCTCATCATGCACTCGATTCCCCTCGTCCGGGCCACGGCCGACATTCTTCTGCTCGACCCGCCCAAGCAAATGAACATGAACACCCTGCGCGAGGAGATCCTCGATGTGCGTCCAGCCCCATCCCTCTCCCCCGGCCCTTTCCTCCCCGTTGCTGTGCACCTCCCCGTCGGAAACTTACCCCCCCACTCCCCCACCCCACCTTCGGATACACCCTCGCCCCCTCCGCCAGATCCCCGGCGTCCGTGCCATCCACGATCTCTATGTGTGGCAGCTGACCGGCGAGCGCGTCATCGGCTCGGCCCACGTCGGCATGACCACCCCCGAGGCATACGCCGAGATCGGCCCGAAGATCCATGCGGCCTTCCACCGGCGCGGTGTCCACTCGGTGACCATCCAGCCGGAGTATGTCGGCCATGGGCCCATGGTTGGCCTTCTGCCCTCGCCCGATGCCCCGGCTGATGGTGTCAAGTCCGGTGCTCCGACGGCCCCGCCACAGACCCCGATGGCCGGCCTCCAGTCGCCCTCTCACCACCATCCGGCCTATCCGGCCTCCTCGTCCTCCATGTCCAGTGATGTTCTGCTGCACATCATGGCCGACACCTGCTTCCTAGACTGCTCCTCCCTGGCCGGGACGGATGAGCGCTGCAAGGCCGGCGGTCTGCCCCGGCGGCGCCTCGGCACTCGTGCCAATGCTGCCCGTCGGGCCTGTGGCAACCCCAGCTTCTTGGCCGAGTTCGAGATGGCTTCGAATGCCGCTGCCGGTGGGGGGACAGGCCATCCGGTGTCGCCGGCCAGCTCCCCGTGCGCTGGAACTGACACGCACAGCCACCACCATGGGCACGGCCATGGGCACAATGCATGCGCGACCACGGCAGTGGCTCACGGAGGAGCTCCGTCTGCTCCGGCTGTTGGCACTCTCATGCCTGACCTCCCCTCCCCCTCGGCCAGCCCGTCGATGTCCACTTCCCAGTCGGGATCTTTGCTCGACTGATTTCCCCTGGCCTCCTCAGGCGATGAAGCGTGCCGGCATCAGGACGCCCACTTGGGCAAGGGACACGCTCCACCATGTCTGCTCGCGCGCCCTCCCTCCAGCGCCTGCCCGCTTCCCCGTATCCCACACCCACCAGCCCTTGTCTTCTTCTTCTTGTTCTACTTCTTCCTCTTCTTCCCCCCGCTCGTAACTTGCTCTCTTCTCGTTATACATGCTCCGCCCCTGCCCGGCCCTCTCTCCCTCCTCATCCCTCGCCGCTGGCTCTTCCTCCCAGGCGGGAGAAAGTACAGCGACAGACACACGGCGAGAGGCGTCCAGATCATCCTGGAAGGGGGGTGGAAACATGCGCCATGCAAGGGACAGAACATAATAGACACCCCGAATAGAAAGAGAGACAGAGAGAGAGAGAGAGAGAGAGAGAAGCAAAAGTTAGAAGTGCGATTATCCGTTGGCATTTACCTACAGGGGGAGTCACCGCCCGGGCTGGTTGTTGCACCAGTGCGGGCGCCTGTGGCGCGGGGCAAGAGGGACACACGCACACGCACCGGGATCCAGTGCCTTTTGGGGGTCCAGTGTCTAGGCCGCGATCCATTCACAGCAGATAGCTCCCTCTCCTCCACCATCCATCGCCACTCCTTTGGCCCTTTCTCCCCCCGCCCCCCCCCCCCTCCCCCCTCTCGCCCTCCACCTTCGCCTCGCTGTATCGTTACCGCCATCATGGTTCGTGGTGTTTCCCCTTTCCCTGCCAGCCGGCCTTTTTTGCTCTTGCATGCTGCTGTCGTCCTCGGCCTTCTGACATCCATCAACACATACTCGACTGTGCTTACACACACACACACACACACAAACACAAACACACACACATCCAAATGTAGAGCGTTACCCTACATACCACTCTGGGAGACATCAAGATCGAGGTGTTCTGCGAGTCAGTTCCCCGGACGGCAGAGGTACGTCCTCTCCTTTGCAACTATTACACCCATGGCTCAGCTCTCGTGGCCGCACCATATCTACTCACACTGTGAACCTGTCCACACACGCACACACACACGCACATTTATTTTTGTGCATATTTGCACACACATTGCCATCGACTTAGAACTTCCTCGCGCTTTGTGCCTCCGGCTACTACGACGGATGCACCTTCCACCGGTATGTATGCCACGACGCCCATGGACCGCTCACATGCACACCATTCTAACTCCATCCGACTGTACTCCACAACCCTCCGACCCTCCGATGCGTCCCTTGGCACAGCAATATCCCCGGGTTTTTGACCCAGGCTGGCGATCCAACCGGCACCGGCAAGGGCGGCTCCAGTGCCACCGGTCTGCCTATTCCGCTGGAGATCCGTGCCGCTTTGCGGCACCACGCCCGCGGCGTCGTGTCCATGGCGCACAGGGGGGCCAAGAAGAAGGCCGCTCCTGGCGATCCGGCCGCCGAGGCTGGCGCACACTCGCAATTCTTCATCACCTATGCCCCCCAGCCGAACCTGGACAACAACCACACGGTCTTCGGGAAGTGCGTGCTGATTCGTTCGCTGCTGGATGCTCCCTTCGAATACCCCTGCTAACTAGCGTCTGCCCATCCCCCTCCCTCCTCCTCCTCCTCCTCCTCCTCCTCCTCCTCCTCCTCCTCCCCACAATTGCCTCCACCTTACGCAGAGTCATCTCCGGCCTGGAGACCCTCGAGGACTTGGAGCGTGTTCCCGTCGATGAAAAGCAGCGCCCACTCAGCCCGGTCACCATTAAGAACGTCACCATCCATGCGAATCCCATGGCCCATTGAGGTCCATGAGTAGGACCCAATATATGCATTTAAATCCCCCCCCCCCCCCCCCAGCGACACCATTTCCCATCTCCGTGCATGACACGCGGAGAGTAAAATAAGGGGAAATTCCTCGTCTTCCTTTATTCTCGGACGGCCAGACACAGTGGCAGGAGGAGAGGAGCATGGCAGGAACCAGGAACTGCCCCGGCGAAAGGGCAGGTCAATCCAAAATCCGCATATTAAAGGATCTTCGACCGGGAAAGGGTGGTCAGGACCAGGACAGGGGAAGACAGAGAGACAGATTGGCAGGAGAGAGAGAGAGAAGGAAATTAACAGGAGGGAACATCAACCATGTGAGGACGCACGTCAGGAAATCCGGAGACATCTGGAGGATTTGATTCAACTCGAAGAGCGACAGCGAATCGCAATCCTTGATCCCAAACTCCTCGAAGATCTTCGTCAGCAGGGCGGAAGGCAGGTCAGAAGGCGGGCAAGAAGGGAAATAGGTGGCACAAAGCCGAAGGCCCTCGGGGTGGGGTGGGGGGGCTCCAGCAAGCGTGAGATGCTGCATACCCTGCCGACAATGCGCTGAAGCTCGTCATTGGACGAACAGCAGGTGATCCGTCCAACCAGCCGCAGGAGATCATACCGGTTGAGACAGCCATCCTCGTCGAAGTCTGCACGGATGTCAGTGGGAGGGGAGGAGGGGAGGGGGCTAATGACCGGGGGCAAAAGAGAGGCCATTGAGCCGAGGAACAGGAGGCAGGCGGGGGCGCGCACCGAAGATACGGAATGCATAGAGCGCTTTGACACCGGGTGTCGCCTGCATGAGCAAGACACATGCCATGCCGCGATGCCGCGCAGCGAAGTGTTGGTATGTGTGTGTGTGTGTGTGTGTGTGAACATCTGGGATGAAAGGGGGGAAAAAAAGAGCCCCAACAGCCCAGCCTTTTGGAGAAGGCACAACATCGGCGACAGGCGAGGGGGCATGCAAGACACACGCACCTTGACACTGAATACGGAGCAGAGATTGAGGAAATGGATGAACTCGATCTGCGTGCCGCACAGCCAATCGCATCCCCCCTCGGAGCCGGTGCCTGGGCAGAATTCCCGCTCAAGGTAGTACGACTCCGGCGCCCGGACCAGGTCGGCGATGCTTTGGGACTCGAGGTTGATCTCCTCATCCAGGGACTGGCGCCGACCACGGATGTCGTCCGATGGGTGCTGGTGCTTGCAGGCGGTGAACACCTCATCAGAGAGGTCCGGCAGTCGCGGATCGCGGCCCGGGCACACGGACCCATCCTTCGCAAAGACCCGGATGACCCGCCGCCGGAAGGGGTTCTTCCGGAGTGACGGCAACCGGGCCAGCACCTCAGCCCCGGGGATGGGGGAGTTGTGCGGCCGCCCGGCCTTGAGGTTGATAGCGGCGAAGCACTCCCACGCCCTGGATCCATGGGTCAGTGACACGAGGCCCGAGGAGCGACAGAGACAGGCCACATGGAAATGCCGACATCATCCGCGGGAACATACTCAATGATCTCCTCCTTGTCGAGGAAGGTGTACTCGGCGTACTTGGCCAGCTCCTTTGGTCCAAAGTTCGCTGCCTTCGGTATGGAGAGCTCGTTGCCCATGGCTATGTGTGTGTGCGTGTGCGTGTGTGTGTGTGTGTGTGTGTGTGTGTGCGTAAGGGTGTATGAATGGGGGAGGCTCGGCGGATGGACGGGCGCGCGCTCGCGCAAGGCCACGAGATGAGGGAAGGTAAGGTGGGCAAAGGTGGTGTGAAAGGGGGGGGCTGTTGCAGAGCGACCTGCTGTGGGGCGCCGAGGCCGGGGGCCCAAAGGATGCACGAAAGCCAGATCGCGTGCACCGGGCCGGCAGCCGCGGGGCCCACGAGCCGTTCTTCCGTGAGTGCCCGGTACTCCCCCCGCCCAGGGGCGACGATCTTTGGACCGCCTCCGCCCGCCCGCCCCCCTCTGTTCCTGCCACGCCGCTGTGTCTCGATCGATGGCCCCCTCCCCGCCCCCCCCGCCCCCCAGACACATACACATATAAGGAAGCTTCTTTGTTTTCCCCATCAGGTTCGCGGGTGCCAGGGCCGCCGTCACGGCTTTTCCCTCGGGCGTCTGGTCGCAGAGGGGCGCCAGCTCACGGAAAAAAGAGCCCCTGGACAAGGTAGCACATGTGATTCTGCATTCACGAGTCGGAGCACAGCCAAGGGGCTAATAATTCCGCTGGGCTCGTGATCCGCGCTCCGCCACGGCCGGGTATTTCTACATCCTCCATCCCCCAGGGGAGGCACATGAAAAAGGAAGCAATTGCTTCGCCAGGACCGCGGCAGCGAGTGATGCATGCTTTCGGTGTGCCCTTGGGTATGTATGCCCGGCGTGGAGGGCAAGTTCGGGCCAGGGCCCAAGAGCAGGTCTGGTAAAGAGGGGTGAGGGAGGGAGGGGGAGAGAGAGAGAGAGAGAGAGAGAGAGAGAGAGAGAGAGAGAGAGAGAGAGAGGGAGCAGGCGCGTGTGTGTATGTGTGTGTGTGTGTGTGTGTGTGTGTGTTG